GGCCAAGATTTTCCTCAGAAAACAATCTTGGATCCATTCTAATACAGATAAGGGCAATGTGACCTCAAAGGTTTTGCCAGTGAACACAACTAAGAATGTTTTTGCCTAGAAAAGCTATGACACAACTGTTAACAAACACCTACCTAATGCAGTTATTTTAATCATCAAAAAAAAAAAATACCCTCAGAATATCTAACTTTGAGCATGAAAGCTTCTATTGATGGCTTTAAGACAAAGTATTACAAAACTAATGCTTCTAGATGGCTAAATAATTTGCTCTATTATGTAGCATAAGTAACTCAAAGTTGGGTAAGTATTGGAGACTGCCAAAACATAGTAGTTCTGTTTTATGATTCTGGGGATTGTACAAAAGGGTCCTTTATCACTGAGCTACACCTCCAGTGCTTTTTATTTTTTATTTTGGGGCAAGGTCTCACTAAATTGCTTAGGGTCTTACTAAGTTCACGAGGCTGGCCTTGAAATTTCGATTCTGTCTAGAGTTCCCAAGTCACTGGGATTACAGGTATGAGGCACTATGCCCAACTACATCATAGTTTCTAACAATATGAGTTAACCATTTCAGTTTTGTTATAGCCCACCTGAAGTCATCAATATTTCTGTCAATCCAGGCCATCTGTCTATTTAAGCTTTTTCTCTCAATGTCAAAAATACATATAACTAAATTCATGCATTTTTGATTTGATGGAATGCCACAGATTGCACATCCAAAGGAAATATCAAGTTATTAAAGGGCACCTTAAAAAAATCAGAAACAAGGGAGGTGCAGAACATATTTATGTTTTATATACTTTTTCATCTTTCAAGAAAGAGATCATTTTTATGGATTCTAACTCTCACAGTGGTTTTGCTTTTCAGTTCTGTGTAAGTAACTGAGTTCACGTAACTTAGCACATAACTGATATCTGTTTAAGGAATTTTCAGGGAACTATGCAAATATGTAACATGATTTTGTCCTAATGCAATTCTTCATAAGAGATACTAAAATATATGATGATGTTTAGTTCTAGAAGTTTATTTATATATTTATTTTCCTTTGCCTGAAGACTGATCTGGTATGGAACTCCTGGGATGCTTTTTAAGTGGAACAGATTTACTATTAGATTTATGATTTTGAAGAAGTAGAAAGTAGCTATTTTTAAAAAAATGAGATAAAGCAGATTTGGGGACCCATCTGATAGCTCCCCTGCTTTAGAAGTAATTAAGGCAACAAACTAGCAAGGCTCAGGGTCCTCCATGCAGATTGACACTGAGTGCCCTTGACTTGAGGATGGAGACCACTGGTCCTATTACATAGTTTGGGATCTAATACAATCATTCAGGATGCTTTGCTCTATATTGCCTTGGTATTCTGGGCCTAGATATTTTTCTCTAACTACTCAGTCATTGGCCTTAATTCATTTAACAAACACTTTAGACACCATGAGTATCAAAATTAATGAGCCAAAAATCCTGTCTTCGATAAACTCACAGTATGCATTTTCCATTAGTGGTTCCAGAAATTCTGATCAAGAAAAATGTCTCTTTGTTTTGTCTGTTATACCTGCGAATGTCTATTACACCAAGCTAGGAGACAGTTTTTTTCCCCGGGAAGGAACGTGTCTCACAAGCAAAACTAGCACAGAATTATATTAACAAGTTTACTCTACAGAATGAATCATATTTGCCATTAATTCAGTGGCTGTCACACAACATTGGTAAATTATTGTCTTTGAGTGTCTGTCACCTCACTTGGAATGGCTTTTAAGTTTCAGGTTTCCTTGACACCATGGCATCATTTCCTATAAAATGCTTTACTTCTGGCCCTTTGCCAGTTCAGCATTTTTCAACTCAATTCTTCACTCTAGCAAGTTTCCTACCTGACCATTTTTGTTTCTGTTTTTCCCCTCATCCTATCTCAAAGCATCAATACTCTGATGAGTATTTCTACCATTTTTCTGGTTAGAAAACTCCAGGAACTGCCAATTTCCTATACTCTTATCACTAGCCAGAAATTCTGTCCCTATTGTGCCTCTCCCTACTTATCCAGCCCCACTTCTTACTATTCCAAATTAGTTATTCTACCTCAAACATCTGCATCCTGACTCAAGTATTTGCTCCTATAGTTCTTCTAGTGAGAAAGCCTCTCTCTCTCCTCCATCCTCCTATTTCAAAAGTTCAGCTCTGTGGCTGGGGATGCAGCTCAGTGGCTGAGTGTCTGCCTAGTTTTGCTCCCCAAGACCACAAAAATACATAAATAATAAACTCAGTCTCTTTTCTTCTGAAGCCTTCTCCAATTGTATTGTCCATATCATTTTTCTAAAATTAGTGATTATCAATATAATAATCACTAATTTCAGAAAATTGATATAAATTAAGGCCTAAAAATATAAATTTTTAGGCCTTAATCCCTTTCTATCTTGAATTGTTAAATGATTCCCTATTCCAAATTCTCTTTCCTACTAGATTATAAACTGCACCCAGAGCAAAGGGCCTAATTTGTCCCCTTCCAGTTTTAGGCAGTTGTTATAAATACATTTGATGCTCAAAACATGTAAGAAATTATTGTGGAATAAATGAGTTATCACTGACTCCAAACACATTTTTTTCTTTCTTTTACAGCTGGCATCTGGCTTCTTAAGTTCTGTATTTTCCTATCACAATGTATTTCGAGCTTTTCCAATAGCAACCAAAGAAATTCCTTTTATATTGTGACTTGACAATGGATACTTGTGCATCCATACACATACACACATAAATAAAACCAAAATTTCACAAAACAATACACATTACTTACATTGGGCAATGTATTCTGATGTTTTCTAATGTTTTATTTTTTAAAACACCCATCATGACACACTAAATGAATTTCACAATCACTAAGGGGTTATAACTATAACATAAATACTCTGCTATTTTATTATGGTCCTGATTAATAAGAGATATCCAACTCTTCTTTAAAGAAATGCTTAGAAAGAAATACTGCTTGGACTACTCATTCTGTTCCTTATAGTTGAGCTTCAGTCATGATCTTTACATTATTATTATTATTTGATATAAGGGATTGAACCCAGGGGGGTCTAATCACTGAGCCATCTCCCCAACGCATTTTTATACTTTATTTTGAGACAGGGTCTCACTAAGTTATTTGAGCCCTCACTAAATTGCTGAGGCTAGCTTTGGTCTTGCAATCCTACTGCCTCAGCCTCCTGAGTTACTAGGATTTCAGGCATGTTACACTGTGCCTGGCTCTTTACATAATTATCTTGAGGTCACTTTCTACCACCTTCCACCATAGCACTTAGAATCATCTCCCCATACACCCCAACTGCTATCTCTCAAAATTTGGGACACAAACAATGATACATAAAATGTCCTCTGGAGGGCTGTTTCTTATCCTGACTATTTTTAGTGGCATATAAATAAAAGTTTCCAGGCCTAATATAATCAAACCACTTACAAATGAATACAAGTAGGATGGTCATCTCTGAGGATGCACTCCATTGCCTGACAATCCAGAATCTGCTTCGCCAAGTTACTTAACCTGAGTCTTCATTTCTGCATCCACACTATTGGTATAACACTTACTTCAAAGGATTGGTGGGGTTCAAATTAGAGCATGCACATAGAGCTTGATAAAGGTCCTGGAATACAGTACTCTGTGAATGGCAGTAATGTTTTATACATAACAAATAAATACACCTGGAACTTCATTTTAGGGTAATAAAGTAGGTTCAGTCCTAAGAACAAGAGTAACATTACTTTTTCTCTTTAAATATGTTGCTATTTTTTGAAATTGAATGATTTATAATATAGAATTCCACTGCTAGTTTCATAGACCATAAATATCCTGCAATGAAGCTTCTATTTGTAGAGCTGAATAAGCATTATATAATAAGGATTGCCTACTGAAACTAAAAAAATGAGTATACATATGCAATGGCTTGCCTAGTCATGCTAATCTAGATTTAGATTTGTTTTTGCTTGATTTTTTTTTCAAACCATAAACGACCATCTGTTGGTGAAGTGTATTTTCAATCAGTAAGAATACAGCATACAGACGCATAACACAAGAGGTACATGGGGCTGCTTTCGAATAAAGTCAGACCTTCAAAGTGAAAGCCTTGTTCAAGCTGCTTTTATATTTCTTACTTTGTCATCCACACACTTAGATTTACCTAGTAAGTCAAGATACTTCTGGGGTGTTTCTGACTGCAGAGTTTTGGCGGTCAAAAGCAAACTAGTTCTCCATTGAAATCATTTTTCTCCTAACCTGTCCCATTTAGCACCTCGGAATATCTCGCCCATTCTCCCATACACACTGATGCCGCCTGGACCAGGCACTGGGGAACTGCAACCCTTTTAAACCCACTAGTCCCATCTCAGTTATTTGCTAAAGAGGGAAGAGTTGTGTTGGCAGAGCCTTGGACAATTTAATCGAACCACAACAGGAACCTCTGAGGATTAACCTTCAGTCACATACACTCCAGATTGCGCGTGTGTGCTGGCGGACGCGTGGACCCAAGAGGGCAGAGAGCCAGAAACAGACCTGCAACAGGAGGCAGAGACAGCGGAGTGGGCCACTAGCTGCGGACTCGAGACAGACTTACAGAGCGATTTAACCCGAGCCCGAGAAAAGCAGACCGCGGCAGGACGCATACTCGGCGCGGAGAGCCCCGTTCCCCTCCGCGATCGCGTTCGCCCCCGCCCGCACTGCCGACCCCCAGCTCCGAGCCGTGGCGGGGAGCAGCCGGCCCCCAGTGCTCCGCGCACCCCCTTTCGTCACGTCCGGGGGCGGGCCGGAGCGCCGGGGGCGGGCCGGAGCGCCGGGGGCGGGGCCGGGCGGGGCCGGAGGGCCGGGCAGGGCGGGGGTGGGGTTGTGGGGGTGCTTCGGGTGACAACGGTCAATAATGAAGGTGGCTGCGGCGAGGTGGCTGGCTCAGCAGAGCCGGGCGGGGGCGGCGCCGGGGCCGCGCCTGTAGGAGCTCCGGGCCGGCGCTGCGGGATGGGGACCCGGCGCGAGGAGTGAGGTGGCTGCGGCGAGCGGAACTTCAGCCCGAGGGGCTCATCTGCTCCCCCTCTGGCTAGTCGGCCTCCACCTGCAGCCCCTGGGCCCCAGCGCCCCGCGGGGCCGCGACGGCGTCGGCGAGGGCATGTGGCGCTGGGTCCGGCAGCAGCTGGTAGGTGTCCCCCGCCCCTCGGGCGCCCGCCCACGCGTGGCCTCTCGGCCCCGGGTGGCGGGACTGGGCCCGCTGCGCGGAGATAGGCCGCGGCGGAGGCGGGCGCGGGGCCCGGGCCGGAGAAGCCCCGCGCTGCCCGGGCCGCAGAGGCTGGCGCTGCGCAGAGGGAGGCAGCCGCTTCCTGCCGGCGCTTCTCCGATACTTCCTCCTTCGCTCGGCTCCTGAGCGATCGCGGTCAGAAGATGAGGGTCTCCAGCGGAGTGGGGGTGCCCCCTGAGGAGACTGCTAGGGCGCCGGACGCGAGGTGGTCTTGGGGAGAGGAAAGGGGCTTGGGTGTCTTGCCTGTAGCAATTTAGAACAGGTTTGGGTGAAGAGCCGGGAAGGACTTGCCTTCAGCCCCCGCTTGGCACCGGGGGTCAAGATTTACTTACTGTTGCGTTGATTGACAAGGAGGAGGATACCTTATCTCCTACCTCTGGACGAAAGAAATTTTTACCCAAGGCCTAAATGAAGGAAAGAGTATTCCAATTCCCCATCTAGTTTCGAGAAAGATGTACAGTAGTTATGAAGAACTAGTTTCCGTCCTACCTTGTCCTCCCCCCACCCCAAGCGAAACTTTTAAACCATACCTTTTTTTTTTTTTTTAATCCGATTGTACTTAAGGGGCTGTTTGAACGAAAGGGGTATTTAACTTTCAGTATTACTAGAGCATCTGGAGGAAAAGAAAAAAGAAAGAAAGAAATCTTAGGAAAGGGTGACTTTAGGCATCTAAAAAGCACCACCTTTCCCAGAATTTATTCAGAGAGAAAAATCTTTCCTGTCTTCTGGCAACTGCAGTCCAAAAAATACCCTACTAAGGCAATGGTGACAATTAGGACAGAAATTACTTCAGGCTGAAGAATCTTAATACTTAATACCTTATCTGTGTGATGAGGCTTGCTACTGTTTATTCTAAATCTCACTGATTAAATGCTTCTACATTTCATTGTTTTTGTTTACTAGTTTTAAAGGCAGTGGTAAACCTTAATGAAGCAGAAACTGTTTTTGTGGGACTAAAACATATCGTTTTCCCTGTTCTAGAACAACATTTTTATGTTAAGACTAAGTATGATGTTTTTTAGTCAACCTTCTGTTACATCATTTTCAGTGGGTATCATTCTCAAAAAAAAAAAAAAAAAAAAAGCTTATAAATAAAACTAAGAACTGCCGCCACTCACTCCCTCATATAAATGTTGGCTCTTTATTTTTAGCGAGCTATAAATTCAGGTACTCCAGATGATATGCTTTATTAGGAAACTAACCTAATGATGTCATTATAATAGCATATTGCTATAATTCTTTGCCTTTGTTGCAGTAAGCTGTAGCACAGTAATTTGACTCTAGTAGTTAATTATTACAGATGTGATCTCGTGCTTTTGATTTGCCAAGTGTTCATGTATATGAGGTTTGATTTAAAATCATTTACCTGATGATGGGTTTGTATGGCAGGAAGATTGTTCTAAAGTGATTCTCTTAATGCTTTTACTAGTAGATTTTTCAGCGTTAGGAATTTTTGTTAGCCTGAAAATAATCCTGGTTTTATAACCATGCTCATCTTTAAGATAGAAAATCTGGTAACGTTTGGAAAAAAATGGCTTCAAATGAAAACAAGTAAAAGGAAGAATCAGAAGTTCTGTGGTTAATTTATAAGGCAGCTGTCTTACTGGAATGGTTAACAAGTTGAACAAGTTGCTGTGCATTTAAAAAAAAAAATGCTATCACTGACATTTAGTTGCTCACCTTACTGGTTTTACTTTAAAGTTATCAGATCTTCTAAGTATGTAATCAGACCTCTGCCAGTGTTGGGCTTTGTATCTGTGATTAAGTTTGTGTAGTCACTTAAATTATACATTCAAGGCAGTGAATACACAGAGTAATGAAAGTATATTTTACTATCCCAGTCACAAACAGCTATTCTAGCTATTCAGTAATAACTAGAATTAGTTACTACATCAAGCAAGAATTGTTCAATTCAAAGTCTAGGTTATACTTCCATTAGCTCAATGGGTTGAGTCACCATGTGCTTTAGCGTTAGGTTTATTTTAAAGTTTAAAAAATGAAACAAATTTGGGGAAATTAAAAATCACAAGGAGTTATAAGCACACTTTATTCATTATATGAATCCTGATTTTCAGCTACTTATACTGTCTCACTTTAAAAAAATTACAGAAACAACTCCTATGCTCCAGTTACTTCTAAATACAAAATATTTTTAATGTTTGACATCATGGAAAAATCAAAGGTTGATATAAAGTTAGTATTTTCCTTGGGAAAGTAGAGAAGGAAAAGACTTTTTTTAAAAATTCTTTTTTCTTTCTCATTTGTTCTCTGTTTTGGGTTCACAATATTCAAATTATTTTAGGCTAAAAAATTTTCTCACTGTGTCTTTCTGGTAAAGTTTATATTATTCATATAGTATACACATTTTCAGTAGCATAGTGTATAACTCCTCTTACAGTTGACAGGACCTTGATTATAATAATGGCAATACCATTAGCTACCCACTGAATTCTACTATTTAGAGATGTATGGTAGCTATTGACCACATGTGGATATTAAAATTAAGATGTGAATTCATGTAACTATTGGCCACTATATCAGTCAGTTCAGAGCAGAATATTTTCATTATCAGAAAATTCTATTGGAAAGCTCTGATGTAGACTTTTAAATGAAGGTTTTTGTCAACATTTATTTTAGTTGACACATAATATTTCTTTATAGGGGAGTATAATACTGTGTATTCATAATACTTAGTGTGTGTAGGTAGTCTAATGCGCTAAACACTGGAGGTACACATGGAAATCAGTGAGGACCTTACTCTGCTTAGTACCTTACATTTGCTGTACTATAGGCATTGAGTATGTGTTTGCTGAATAAATGATGAACATGTGAATAAAAGAATGAACTCTGTTATTTCTGGGTTTAGACATAAAGTGACAAAATTCAAGATTGACTAGAAGAAAACTAGAAAATAACTAACAATGCAAAAGCACAGTTTAATATGTCATATTAGGATAACTGTTTCTCCATTTTTTTCATAAATGTAGTCCCTTTAGATTTATATTGGAAGGAGCCTGATAAGATTGTTTTTGCTTCACTGGGAAAAATGGGAGCTCTTAAAGAAAACTCCCTCACTTTCTGTTCTTTTGCCCCTCACATTCACCATACTCGTTTATACCTATGTTTAATTCGTCCCTTGTCCACCTGTCACAAAGGAAGGTATGGTCCTTCTCTTCTACAAGTAAGTCATTCCCCTTGTGCTTTTGATCCTATTCTTTCATCTGCTCTCCGTTAATTATCATTAGAATATTTGTTGTTTCTCTTTTCTTTTAACCTGTAAATATGTTCAATCCTCCCTCTGCTATTTTCTTTGCCCTGAACCTATAACTGCCAAAATCTTTTTAGTTAAAAAAAAAAAAAGGTCTATTCTGAATAACAGTGCCATCTGGTATACTTGCAATGTGGTTAATTCAAATTGAGATCATCTTTAAGTATAAAATAAACATTGGGTTTTAAAAACAGTATGGAAATGTAAAATATCTTGTTATAATTTTATGTTTCCTTTTCTTTTTATAAAATATAGTTACTAGAAAATTTTAAAGTATGTATGTGTCTTGCATGTGTGACTCGTGTTAGATGTTTATTAGTGCTCCTGTATGACATTAAAAGTGAGCTTGTGTTTCTGTATAGCACATTAAGTGGAACGGTCTCATTTACTAGACTAGACTAAAAATATCTTAGGACAAGGACTGTATATTACTTGTCTCTATATCCTTGCACTCAAGGAGGAGCTGGGTCCTTGTAAGTATTCACCCACCAAATGCTGGTTCAATAAAATTGAATGAGTTTAATTCAACATCAGTTTGGAATTATTATACTTTGTCTCTCTCCCAGGTAATGAATAACGACTATTTTAACCTCAAGAATGAATGTTTAAGAATGTAGTTCTTTGAACATATGCTTTTTTATTTCTGTGGTCAGACATATATTCTTTTTTTTAGTTGTAGATGGACACAATACCTTTATTTTATTTGTTTCTATTATTATGTGGTGCCGGGGATTGAACCCAGTGCCTCATGCATGCTAGGCAAGCATTCTACCACTGAGCCACAACCCCAGCCCCTAGACATATGTTCTTAAATACTCAGTTTTTTATTTATTGGGGTGAGGAGTGGTAAAGCAGTAGAGCAACCACATATTTCTAGCAGCACTGAAGTAGAGACCTTGTTCCAGATCCTCCAAAGAACCTTATGAATCACTGTTATTGTCATTAATATTTTTTAGACCTATGCTATCCAATGTGGTAGCCACATATGACTATTGAAGACTGGAAATGTTCCTACTTCAAATTGAAATGTATTAGAAGTGTAAAGTACATGTGAGATTTTGAAGATTTAGTTTGAGGGGAAAAGGATCTAAGCTCATTCATAATTTTGTGACTACATGTTGAAATTATACTGGGTTATGTACATATACAAATATGGCTAAATAAAATGTATTACTGGATTAATGTTACTTATTTACTTTTACCTGTTTTAAAAGTTGAAACTAAGGAAATTACATATTTGAACAGCACTGTTTTAGATTGTGGTGATTATATGTAATCTCTGTCATAGGCAAATTCAAGAAAGTTTTCACTTCTAAGGACTTTCTGATTTCACCTATGCTTTTTTCCTGTAAGTTTTCTATTTCTAGAGTGTTGGTCTCATTATATTCAAGAGCCTACAGGCTGCCTGATATACTAACCAATGTGTATAGAAGTTCTGGTCTACACAAGGAAAGAATTGCTTCTGGCTGTAGTGGGGTTCTAGACAGCATCTAGCCATGCTGTTCTTCAGTTTGTCTCTGAAGTTGAGTGTTAATCATTCTAAATAAGATAATATTCATGATTAGCCTATTTTTTTTGTTTTACCAGAAATGCATATTTCTTTCAAAATATTAAAACTGAACTCTTGATATTT